CCATCCCCTGGCCATCCCCACGGCCATCCCGTGTCCATCCCCTGTCCATCCCCCATCCATCCCCAGACCATCCCCTGTCCATCCCCTGTTCATCCCCAGTCCTTCTCCTGTCCATCCCTACAGCCATGGCCAGTTCATCCCGTCCATCCCCACATCATTCCCATGTCCATCCCCATGTCCATCCCCATGTCCATCCCCATGTCCATCTCCATGTCCAGCCCCACATCAGCCCCACATCCCTCCTGACGTCCATCCCAACACCCATCCCGATGTCCATCCCCAGTTTATCCCCACATCCATCCCCACTCCAACCCTTTGTCCATCCCCACATCCATGCCCACATCCCATTTGCTTTTCACTTCCGAATCCCTCCCACCCCTCCCTTGCCATTTCCTTTGCTTCCAGTCGATTTTCTGTTTTCCAAACAACACAAAGAGCTGTTTTTTTTCCCCAGCCCTAACCATTCAAAACCCAAGACTTTCCCTGAAAGTGAGCAAGCTGTTTAAAATGACAATATGGGTTTTCACTTTCAAAAGAGACTTTTCAATACGGTGACTAAAATGATTTTTCCCAGTGAAAAATGACCTGGTATGGGGCAGACATGACCCAAGGTGGTGCATCCCATGATTTTATCCAAGGACAATCCAACAAATCCCCCATGGAAACAGCGGTGGCCACTGCCCAGCACAGCCAAGGACGCTGATGACCACAGATCATCAGGAGATTTCTTCACTTAAACCCTCAAAAAACCTCCCAAATCAACCAGTATTTACACATGTGGTTGGAACAGGGACCATAATCACAACCACATTTTCTGGAAATGTTATCTCGTTTTATTGAACCGCCTGGGCAAACTTGTACCATGAAAAATAGTAAAAAAAAAAAAAAAAAATCCCTCTGCTATTATAAGATATTTGGGGAGTTTTCTTGAGCAGCCCTTCTGCCTCAGCGGGAGAGACCTGAAACTTGGAATTTAGCAAGGAAATAAGCTCCAGCCACACCAGGCCTAAYGCACGCATTTCATTTTTCGTGGTCTGGTGAAATCTGCTTTCACTTTGGCTGCCTGACAAAGGTTTTAAAAATATATGTGTGTGCTTCATTTCTTCATGCTAATTTTTAATCTACTGTAACAATTTTTATGCCATCAGAACAGCTAATGACCTTCCWGCCTTCTCTTGGCTCTGCTGCCGTGGCTGGAGGTCAAGGGAAATTTCTCCTGCTGTCGGTGGTCTCACCATGATCTTTTAGGAAAAACCATTTGGAATATCTCACTTGGATGGAGAACATGAACCCAGTAGGAAGCCCAGTGTGCTGGAAGCTGGTACACAGCAGCAATTAACATATTTTGCTTCCTGATTTTTGCCAGCTTAAAAGGTTTTGGATGTTGGGCAGGCTYGGAATTTAAGCAGGGGCTGTAAAAAGTATTTGGGACTTGTACACAGAGGGATAAAACTYTGCAAGGAACGGGTCCAGACTTGGTGAAAAACCACTTCAAAGTGGATATTAGGAATAAGCAAAGGGAGTAGAAGGAATGGAAAAAAAGGATTAATCAAAGAAAACTACATCTTAGKAGTTAGGAAGTGTAGGCACAAAGGGAAATGTGCCAGGAGTAAAGCTAAGGTAGATCTTGCAAAGGAAATTAAAACAAATAGCAAAATGTTCTTGAGGCGTGCATACCAGGAGAGGAAGGAGAGGAGAGGAAGAGGTGGTGAAAGGGGGAGAGGCAGGACACAAATGAATGTATAATATGTAGTGGAAATGTACACAGAGGAAATGAATGCATGGAGACAGAAATGACCTCATCCAAGTGGAACAAATCATAAAGCTCATAATGTGACAATAATTTGGGCTAAATGATGGTTATAGACACCTTTCAGATGTAATATTCTATTTTCTGACTTTTGGACATCCAAGAGCACTTTGTATCTGGCTGTGGAACAGCATCCCTGCATGAGCAGCACAACACAAGTTGAGAATAGGAAAAAATATTTCAGCTTTTAAAAAGAGGAAAAATGATTGAAGTCTGATCCAAATAAAACATGAGACTTTGGGATAAATTTAGCTAGAAAGAATAATAGCAGGCATGATGGCAGAGAGAAATGGGCTAAAAGGCAACATGGATTTATTTACTGAAGGTGGACAGTGCTGGATTAACTGATGGCTTTGTTAGTTTTCATARCAGAGAGGAGCTGGTAGTTCTATTCTGTCTGTAATGGATAAATGTAGGCTGGAAATTAGAAGAATATGGTCAGCCATCTGAGAAACTGGGTCCTGGTGTGTCCTTCCTACAGCATGGCAGGGGCAAACAACCACATTAGAATGTAGTACTTGATCTGATCATAAAAACCAGAGCATATTTTCCCTCCTAAGACAGCACATATCCCTAAATACGTCTTTCCAAGTGTGTTCTGGTAATATTTAGGTCTGTTGCATGTCTGTGCCTAAGCCCACTGTGTCTTCTTTGCCCTTTTATCTGCTTTTTTAATGCCTGTTCTTCCCTGCTGTTCCCAGTGAGCCATGAGATAGCAATGCTGCCTGCACTGGCACATTCCTGCACCCACCTCCTCCCACAGCCAGGCCTGCTGGGGAACTTTCCAGTTACTACTGTGGCATTTGGATCAGGCTTCTGGTGGAAAAAAACACTCCATATTCAGAAGAACATTCTATTTCTATTTTGAGGTGAATAGATAAGCTTCTTTTTAATTTTTTTAAATTTTTTTTTTTAATGGCAAGTTAATCAGAGCCATATTTCAAAATCCAGCTTTTAAACTGTGCTTGCAAATTGCTTTGTGCAGTCCTTGCGTTGCTGTTTGGGTACCCATGTGAAGGGCAAGCAGACCTTATGCTCCAGTGATCAGATGAAGGTCAAATCCCCACGATGTTTTATCTTGTGTAATTGAGTAGAYACACGGAGGAGGTGAAATATTGCACTCTTTTGAAGCCTGAGCAATCAGCTTGTGCCAAAGTTAGGATTAATGGAGCGTGAAGTGCATTTTGCCCGGAAAAATCCCACCATCCTTTTGCAGATGGAACACTTGTCTGCCAGAAAAGTTCTTCTGCAGGAAAGTTTCTAAAGAAAAAAAAGAAACAAAACAGCAAAGTGTCTGGGTTACTGCTGTCATTGCTAGAGGTGGCTCTTCTACAGCTCCTGGGAAAATGGATCAATATTCTCGCCTTTATCTTGCTGCAGAARGATTTCAGGTTCAGGGCTGCCAAACTCACAATTTTCTGAGCAGGGTAATCACTGAACCAGGATTTGTTTGTCCAGAGAACTGGAGCTTCCCGAGGTTGCAGTGGGTGTGATTCTGACAGCATCTCTGTAGATGGTGCTGCAAGGCAGGGAGATGGGAACGAGAACAGCTTGTGCTGCTTTTAAAATTCAGTCCTTTGGTTTCTCAACCAGCTCTTGGTATTCCAGCTTCCTTACAAGAAAATGAGATATGGTTGTCTATAATGTCTTTATCTTGATGAGCTATAATCTGAATGCACCCATTGGAAACATAAACAGAGGAGAACTGTTATTTTCTCTGGGTTCAAACAGCTGACATTCTGTAACTCTGACTGGAAAACTGCTGTGAACAAACTGGCTTTTCATATTTATCTAACTGTTCCAGCCTTTTAACAGCAGATTGTGGAATCTAGAGAATTCCAGAAAAAGATCTGGAAAAAAATAATAATTTGGTCGTGCAGAGACACTAAATAATGGATGTTTAAATAATAAAGAGAAAAAGATTCATGTYTCTAAAGGGGCTCTGTCCATTTTTGCTCAATGTCAAATGTTGCCTTGAGTTCAGCTGATCTTGTGCACACTGAAAAATGGTAGAATGCATCCTACAAATGTGTCTGTGCTCCTCCCCTGCTACTGAAATGCAATCAATCCAGGTGGAATCAAGTCTTATTTTAAGCTGGGTAKGCAGTGAAGACGGATGTGTCTGCTTGGAGGACTGGGAGGAATTTTTTAATCAAAATTCAGCTGCATGAATTTGGTGTTTACAGGCAGACATACTTCACATACATAATTACACAGGCAACCTTGTTCAAAGGCAGATGTGAGAGGCACCATCTCTGAGTTTGTACCCCGGTCTCGTGACAGACTAATAATGCCTGTGGTACTTAAACAATGGAACAACTCTGWCATCCAATATTGTGTAAAATTCCTTCCCTCAGCTGGACACTATATTAAATGTTCTGTGTCACCACGCTGCTAGGTCACCTCTGCAGCAAAGATAAAAGATT